TTTACATTTCTTCATTTTATTACCAAGGTATACCATTTCCAGAACTGTTATTAAAATCATTAACAATAACCCCGTCTTTGAATTCTCAGTTTCCCTTTTTAAGTCATTTGAGAAACGTACACAATTCGAATTAAAAATTTTAAAAATATTGGGTGGTAAAGTATCTGTTTATACACAAAATGCTGACCGTAGAACGCCTGCAATTCTATAAAAAATTCCAAAGAATTACTTCCCTCAGAAAGATCTACAGCTGTTTTAAGAGCTATTAACAAACAAAATCAATCCATTTTTGTCAGATCGTATCCGAACAGCTGTGCATCCGTTCGTAGAACTTCCAGCAACCTGCGTAGATCTGCTTCCTCCACCTCAGCGTAGCTCTCTTTCATTTTTTGTGCGGTGTCACCGTGAACCCTGTGACGGGCTGCAGTATCGTTCACGGATTCCAGAGATGGAAATGTGAAATTTGCACTGATTAATTTCAAGAAGTTTGAGGCGTCTTCTTTTTCTTCTAAATGACCAATGATATCATATTGAACAGAACAAGGGTCGCAAAGCTGGAAGTATTCAGCCCAATGGTCGTCTCCCAATCTTTTTTCTCTTGTAAGGACCCCTTTACTGGGGTCATAGCTCTTTATGATAAACCCGACAAAACTCTTCAAGGAAACGGTACCACCATTTTGTGTTTTTAGCATTTTGAAAAGATTGGCCAAAACTGTATTTCCATCTGCCAGCATTCTGTACGCTGATAATATTCGAACTAACGGATGTCGTACAAATACCACCTTTAGATAGTCCCTTAGAATTACTTCTTTTTTCCTACGATGGAGATTTTGAAAATGAGTAATTGGGCGGTAGAATGTTCTTGACTTCTCTTGTACTTCAAACAAAGTTGTTGATGGTGCAAGTTTTCCAGCCAGACGGAGAAATACAAAGCGCCAATTCATTATTGCAACTTTTGGAATACCACAGAATAGTATCTTCTTTTCGTCATCGACATATCCATAACTTAACTTGTAAATGCCAGTGGCAAAAGGAGGCGTTGGCCTTGGTTTCGAACCAGACTGATGTATTAGTCTTTGACATTGTGCCATTACGTCGTGTTTTCTGCGGCTCATTTCTTCTAGCCATGTTTTAGGCACAGCGTCCCATTTAAGATGATTGAAACGGTATGCAAGCTCGTGCGGTGGATTGGGAACGCTACTGTTATGTTTATAAAGTCCAGGCGCCCATTTACCGTACACCCTAAAAGACAAGAAACATTAATTATATAACAAAATATCGCATATGTGTGTGTATGAGAGAGAGAGAGAGAGAGAGAGAGAGAGAAATACCAAGGTTTTTGCTTACAAAGATAAAAAATATATGCATTCCCCTAGTCTGTCTGTAACGCTAGCAAGTGCATTCTATTTATACTTGTCAGATGATGCAGTCAAGTTCCTAAATATCACGAAACGTTTTCTACGAAGATGGTGTGTTATTTTCTGAGTGTGGTTTCCTTCGGTTGGCAATTTTGCTTATGTGCCTATTTGGTTATGATGTTGTCTAACCCTCTGAATGGTTGTCATGGAACAACCCTACTTTCTGGCAGTTTGGAGTTCAAAATTCTATCCTGTGTCAGCTGCTTGGTGTGCAATCTTAGCCCTCTCACTTATGAGTCTCATTCAAAAAGTGTAATTAATGTTGAGATATTTTAGTCGTCATAATAGGCAGGTCAATGTTCTATATCTCACATCCTCAACTAACGCAATGATCAGTTGCCTTGTTGTTATGCAATAGTGAAATTAAATCTGTTGGTACCCTTGTACTAGTAGCAGTGTACACAGGGGCAGATCCATATTTTCTTACAGACTTCCAAATTATCTTTGTTGGCCCACTTCACACCCCTGCACTCTCTCCCTCTCTCCCTCTCTCTCTCATACACACACATATATGCAAAGAGCACGTCAGTTTACATGAATGATTGCAAATAGGTATTTGAAAGTGTGGTAGTGCATACAAGTAGATGTATGTCGTCAGTTTGAACCCATATAGGACCAGTCTTCCTAGGTTTCTGGCTCCCCTCACCACAGTTTGCAATCGCACACATAACTACAAACAAATGTGGAAGGAGCTACCTGGGAAAGGTGAGTTTTATTTTCTGGGTAAGTGAATACTCCCCGATGACGTGAAGAGCAATAGTAAGCTGAATAGCTATAACGTGAGTACAAAACTGTTTACTATGGAGCGTCATTTTAAAACTGTGATTACATCGTGGAAGATTGGAAATGCCTTATCACGGCTCAGAACGTCATGTCATGATTTGAAAAGAGGGGTACACATCAAAATATAGATCCTGAATTTAGATATTGTGATTATTGCTGCAATGCTTATAAAGAAACATAAAGATAGAGAACAACTACCATTTTGTGCTTGTGTGTCCACGGTAAAATTGCTATAGGGCCAAATATATATATATATATATATATATATATATATATATATATATCCCCACATTCAGGCAAAAAGCTATTGAAATTTGAAGATGCAACTCTCTGAACAAACTTGTAAATGTATGTGTATGAGTGCCTCTAGCTAAAGGAGCAGGGGCGGATTTAGGCCGTCTTCTGGGTCTTCCGGAAGACGGTCAGATTTTCAAGTTTACATTGACGGGTATCCAATTTTTCATGTTGGAAGACGGTCAAAATTGAAGGATGAATCAACAAAGATAATTTGGAAGACTGTCTGTAAATAGTTCTGGATCCGCCCCTGAGGACAGATAAAATTGAGTCATGTAATGTAATGTAATGATTTAACGTAGTTAACTACTGTGTTTATTATATTTCATATGCATTTTATTGCTGTAGCATATGTACCCGACGGCTGTATGTGGCGGTAGTCGAATATTGATGACGTAACACATTCAGGGAATACGTGTACAAACATCATATGATAATGCAAGCTACGTTAGACGTAAGATTTTCACTGGTTGGGGGTGAGGGGGGGGAGGGTACATGTAGCCCTACGTCTTATCAGGGTATACTTCACACTGGATGTCCAACAACACTTCACATTTAAGAAGGGGCAGAAATAAAATCTACCTTAATCCCTGATCAGCTATCCGAGTTTACTCTGTTCAGTTTTATAATGTTGGTCATACGGCTAATTATGTACACACTCCTCCCCCCCCCCTTCTAGCTTTCCTGCGATACTAACAGCCAAGGTCAAATGAGGGTAGTCGTCAATTTGACTGCTCCTATTGGCCTGCCAACTCACCACATTAATAGCGTAAAAAAATTCCAGTCTAAATGTTCAAATTGGCATATTGGCTTGGAATATGAAGTTAACGGACCCAAAACTGGCTACTTTGGGATATATGGAGCTCATAACACTCCCAGTATTTTACACTTGTGAAAAATGGAATAGAATGTTTATTTCTATTTTCTGGTCAGACCTTATGGACTATTAGGCCGGACTACCGCTGTGGTAGTCCTAGGAATAGAAGTCCCGGTTCCATATGATTAGCTCAGGTTAGGGTTAGTTGGAGTATTGGGGTTAGTATATGGGACGACTATCACCTGTACAACGTAATGGGGAATGGACTACGGCTCCTAGCGGACTACCATTGCTGTCACACCGGTTAGAAAGAAAACGTTTGGAATGGCTGCTCTTTCAACATTCATTAAATATTTAAATATCGTATTCAGATGCGCGCTTTAAGGATATATTCTATTTGGTTGTTTTTGAAGACAGAATTTAAAAAAAATCAATAAAAAAGTGTCAATAAGAATGTGATATCGAAAGCGTTGCAATAGTTATTTTCTCAGTGGTTTGTGAAATAAATTGGTACATTATTGCAGACGGAATATTTACTGGAAAATTGTATCAATACAAAGAGTTATTAGCTTGAGTTTGACTAACAAGGTATATGTCTTTAATATAGATTTTCATTCCACCTAATATGTCCCCCTTGCCACATTTTAATACATTTGACTTATATTATCGCGAAGACGCACATAGAAAGAATATCAAATGTGCAACCTGTAGGTTGCCTTGACTAGGACGCAGGTAATTCCTTCTGCTTTTTAAGCAACGTTAGGAAAAGTTGGGTCTAACCTGATTGTATTTTATAATATCTAACATTGAAAGCTTCTGGTTACTTTTTTCTTGTGCCAAGACCAAACTTTTTGAGTTCTCAGAACAAGCAAGCAATTATCGTTACCACGATTTTTTCTTTTTTATTTGATGCTTATTAAGCTACACGCCCTTCCGTTTAACCGCAAAATATAATAGTGCTCTATATATGCAGGTGCTCTAAAATTCCTTAGCAATATATAACGGTTACGCTTAAGTGTTTTAGGTAAATCGATACGTTTACATGTCCTAAATTGACCAAAAAGCTTTTTATGTACAGATGCATTGCGTCTGTATATATGGCCATTACCTCTGTCTTCGCCGGTGCCACCGTCGTTGTCCTGCACGGTCGATAAGTGGAAAACAATTTAAACTTTTGCCTTCAAACTTAAAAAACTGATGAATGATAGTAAAAGGACAGGCCAAGTTAGAAAATCTGCTTGATTGGACCGTTTTTCCGAAAGTTATACAGTTTTTGTTTCTCTTTTTTCAACATAAATACCATACATATAACACATTTTTAGCGGAAAAGCCATTGATCTGTCTTCAATCTTTCAGGGATGATCAATATCATCAATATTCCTACAACACAGGTCGAGTTCCAAAACCAATGCAGCCCCTGATCAGATTATTTTGTCTAGAATTATGATTTTTTAAATGAAGCGTGAGTCGGAAAGTCAATCTGATTTAATTCTTTTTTCTGGGAGTTATGCCTTTTTTTGTCTAATTTTCATTTTCTCATCACTGCATTTTCATTGAGGACTTAAAACTCCCACTGGCATTATTCCGTTTGGTAGTTATAATTTCTGAATGTGCATGAAAAAATTCATGGAATAAATTCTCACAAAATTGAAAGAGAAGCTTGGAGATCGAGTTTTTTCCAAACATAATCAATCCGTTTTTGTCAGATCGTATCCGAACAGCTGTGCATCCGTTCTGAAAACCTCCAGCAACCTGCGTAGATCTGCTTCCTCCACCTCAGCGTAGCTCTCTTTCATTTTTTGTGCGGTGTCACCGTGAACCCTGTGACGTTCAGCAGTATCGTTCACAGATTCCAGAGATGGAAATGTGACGTTTGCACCGATTAATTTCAAGAAATTTGAGGCGTCTTCTTTTTCTTCTAAATGGCCAATGATATCATATTGAACAGAACAAGGGTCACAAAGCTGGAAGTATTCTGCCCAATGATCGGATCCAATTCTCACATTTCGATCCATGACCCCCTTCTTAGGGTCATAGCTCTTTGTGATGTGGCGAACAAAATGACTGAAACGCACTGTTTGACTGGCCCCACTTCGTCTTTTCAGTCTTCTGAATAGCTTTGACACGGCCAGATTCCCGTCCATCATCATTCTGTACGCTGATAATAACCGAGCTAACGGATGTCGTACAAATACCACCTTTACATAGTCCCTTAAAATTGCTTCTTTTTTTCCCTGATTGGCTTTTTGAAAGTGATTAATAGCACGATAAAATCTTCGTGAATTTTCTTGTACTTCAAACAAAGTTGTTGATGGTGCAAGTTTTCCAGCCAGACGAAGAAATACAAAGCGCCAGTTCATTATTGCAACTTTCGGAATACCACAGAATAATATCTTCTTTTCGTCATTGACATATCCAAACGGTATATTGCATATTCTAGTGGCAAATGGAGGCGTTGGTCTTGATTTTGATCCAGACGAGTTTATTAATCTTTGACACTGTGCCATTACGTCGTGTTTTCTTCGGCTTATTTTTTCTAGCCATGTCTTTGGCACAGCGTTCCATTTAAGTTGATTAAAACGGTATGGAAGTTGCTGCGTTGAATCCGGATCGTTAGTTTTATGTTTATAAACTTCAGGCTCCCATTTACTGTTCATCCTGGAAGAACAAGTACTATTAATTATATAGGAATTTATACTCCCAAGTGTGACCCCTTATGCAATGAGTACAGTGATATAGAAAATCTAGTCATGAAACAATGTTTTTATACAACTACTAACATGTTTTTTATTCACCAAGTGATTTTTTCACCAGGTGCTGCTCATTCTTTCTGCAAAACCATTTCAAACAATAATCTGCAAATATATAAATAAATGATATAAAGAAAGATTTTGTTTTAGGAACCCTCAAAGAATGTGATATAAGTCTCCATGTAAAGTGTCCTCTGGCCACCCTCCACTGAATAAGACTGCCCCCATACTTATAAAGACTATTTAACATATATTTAACATATATTCTTTAAAAGAAATTAAAGTCGTGCTAATTATCTATAATAAATCACAATACTTTACATTTAGAAACATCATTGATTTTGAAAATCTATGTGTGAAAAAACCCTGAATTATGAGGTTTCCGTCTTTTTATACAGATTTTCATCACAATTAAATCAGCTGAACCCCTCCGTGCCACATTTTGAAAGGGCCTTTTTGTACACAAAGATAAGAAATATATTATATTTAAAACAAGAAGACACAGCTAAAAAGAATATTATATTCATAACAAGAAGATCTAATTGCCTATGACGCAGGTTACACATTTTGCTTTATATGAAAATAACATTTAAGCTAACGTTACGACTGCCCTGCTTGTATTAAAAGTTACATTATCATTATAAATCATTTTGGCTGTTGTCTACTTACCGTGACCGAAATCTTAGGGCAAACAGAACATAAACAACCAATACACAAGTCATTAATACGCTCAGTCGTAATAGTCTCATCTCGCCTCCGTTTTCTCTTTTCCTGGAATACTTTTGGCCTCGTTCTCCACTGTGTTTAAAATATTTGATATGCGTTTTAATGCTGTAGCTACAGACACAACCGCATTGGTTGGCGTTAATCGAATATTTATCATGTCATACGTTGCGTAATACGTGTATAAACAACAGTTCAAGGGAGTACAGTTGTAAGAACAGAAATGATTGTATCAAACTTAGTTTATGGTTTATTGCATCAGATATGCTGAGCAAGCACATCTATCACATCTCTTTAATAAAACTGCCAGAGTATATGTCTCTTATATAGATTTTCATCACACCTAACATGAGTTAAATCTGTTGATGCCCCCTTTTTAATACCCCACATTTTAATACATTTGAATCGTGTTATCATGAACACGTACAAGGGAAGAATAGCAAATGTGCAACCTTAAGGCTGTCTTGACTAGGACGCAGGTAATTCCTTCTGCTTTCTAGGCAACGTTAGCCAACGTTGGGCTTGTTGATCTCGGTCCCAGCTTTGTATGGACCAGACTGTGTGTATGTGGAACAACGCAACATTCACATGTTCAATAAACACTGAACTTTATTCAACATCTAACCATTATACTAATGCATCATGGGAACGGAACACAATGTCAGAGGTCACGGTCTCAACTAACACAATCATCAACATCCCCCCTTCTTTATAAAAGAAAAATATGCTCTACAAAGGACAAAGTGAGCTAAGAGGAGATATAACAAGTTCACAATACAAATACTGTTGCCCAATCAAAATATGATCTGTCTGGTACTCAGATCTAGATCCATACTGATCAAAGTCAATGCAAGTGTAACCAGTCTTTGACAGTCATTTATGGCAATGCATTTCCTTGCATTTAATACAATTCCAGAATAAACAGTTCTCCATTCCACAATAGAAAAGTCTATGAATATAATAAAGTCTTTGCAAACAATCTGTCAGTGTTCCTTCTCAGTCGTTGAACACGTAAACATACATTAAACTTTAAGTAACATTGTCCTTTAAAGATTCAAATATCAAACATTTGAATGTAAGTGAACAAGAAAATCACAACTGTTCTGATAATGTCAATGAAAACAATGCACACATTTGCATACAAGAACAAGGAAATCCAGTGATTCCTGAAACAAATTACAGTCCATGTAAACCGTCCTTAGAAAATGTCTTATCATGTTTACAGCAATTTCACTTGTAAACTACATAGTCCTTAAGATAATTGGGCTTTCTGCACTCACGTTTTGGTCTTATGGTTTGTGGAATTTCATTTCCAGTCTTAATAGAATCTTCAGATTCCACAGTTTTTGTTTCAGTCAGTTCATTAGCATTCGCAGTACTGTGGTAATTCTCACACTGTTTTGTAACATTGTCACTTGGAGTATACATAGGATTCTGACAGTCCTGTAGTTTTCCACTAGTTGGAAATTCACTGTTCATCATACGTGATGGAGATTTATCACGAATGTAGGGTTCAATTTTCGTTGGACGAATGTGTGTTCTATTCCTTCTATAGGTAGCTCCATCCTGGGCTTTGACCTGGTAACTATGTTCATCACATGTGTCCAATACTTTTCCTAAAATCCATTGTTGATTTTGTTTTTGTTCAAAGTATACATTTTGACCTATTTTGAGCTTGGGCAGGTCACGCGCACTCTTATCATGGTATTTCTTCACAGATTTATTTCTTTTGTTGATCTATTCTAACACCTGAGGATCCTTGCTTTTCTTAGCAACTGAGGGTAAGAATGTACGTCCTGGCTTTCCAAACACCATTTGGTACGGGCTCAGCCCAGTTTCTTGTCTTGGTACATTTCTTAGTTCTAATAGAGCTTCAAACTGATCCTCATTGTTTTTAACGCATTTGTACATGAGGTGTTTTACAGTTTTTACTGCCGATTCAGCCTTTCCGTTAGCTCTTGGGTAGTGTGGGCTTGATTTTATGTGTCTTATACCCCATTTCTTCGTGAATTGGTCAAACACACTTGACGCAAACTGCGGCCCACCATCGGATACCAAGGTGATCGGGACACCATATCTCGCAAAATGCTTCTTCAGAATCGCGATAACCACATTGGAAGTAGTAGTGCTCAGATAGTCTACTTCTATAAAGTTGCTGTAATAATCAACTGTCACAAGGTAATTTCTACCTTTGATTTCAAACAAGTCTAAACCAACTTTCTGCCATGCACTTGTTCCTCGGTCATGCTGATTAAGAAGGTTTTTACTGGTTCTTGGCTTCATTTCTTGACATGCCTCACAGTTATCAGCCAACTGTTTAATCTCAGCATTCATGCTCGGCCAATATACTGTTCCCCTGGCTCTTCTTATCATTGAGTCATAGCCACAGTGTGATTTGTGCAATCTTTTCTTAATATCTGCACGCATTGTTTTAGGAATGACTACAGCTTCCCCTTTAACAATTATGCCTTCATACAAACTAAGTGTGTCTCTTATATCATAATATGGCTTACACACATCTGGTGTACTCACTTTTGACTCTGGCCAACCATTTTCAATAAGGTCACTNTGTTACCTCCCATGTTTTCTCTCCTCTGCCCCCCCCCCCTTCTCCAGTCCCTCTCTTACTTGACTTGAAAGGTTAGACAGAGCGATTGTCACCGGGCTGTTTACGCATTTTAGGCTAGATTAATGTAAATATTTTAAGCCCCAGGAACATGTTGTTTGCCATCCCACTTCAATATCCTTTCGGATTTTTTATACATTGAAAGCGCCAGATTTTCTTTCCAAATGCATTGATTTCAACAACTCAAAACAAATCGTCGCCGTACCCTTTATTAGTTCCTGAATAAAATTGCTTACATTTTGATGTCAACTTCAAATGGCACTGTACAAAACGTTCGTAATTTACACGATACGCACAAAGGTCTTTGTGCATTTTATTTTTTTGACCTACTTTATAACAAATGAAAATTACTTAGCGACCGGAGTGTTTGACAATAAAAAATCTATACGACTAAGAAACTTCGAATAAACAGATATAATCTTCGGTATTCCATGCTTTATTTTAGTTGTTAACGGGGCAGGTGCAGTCGTTACTACCTGACAAATTATAAATTTGTCCTGAACCAATATTTTAATTCGAACTTTTAAGGCACCAGCTATGGCTGAGAGCGACAAGGGACGTTTGGAGACGTTAAATGAAGAAGTAAATTGCGGTCTTGATAGATATGGCTTATGCAACGAATTTCGAGAGCTTCTCTACGTTAAGACAGGCATTGATGAGAGCACGCCAGATTTCCAACTCGGGACAATGCTCAGGAAAGAGTGTGGTAGTACCGCGGTAAGCTTTTTACATAGTTTGGACGCAAATGGGGACATGCTTCGTTCTGATTCTGATTTAATGCTGTATGACTATACAAACGTCGTGTTCTGCAATCATCCTGACTTCACTTTTCATCCTCCAGAGGGTACAAACCCTCTTGATGTGTGCACATATTACTACGATACATCAGACTCACATGCTGGTTATGGCAAGTTGCGCAAAGTAGGTAAAACTCTGACAACTAAAGAAGCGGGATATTTATCACGCAAAGCGGCAACAGAATTATTATACAAGTATTTCATTGATAAGACGTCCCACTGGTTTTACGGTACTAGGACCATTGAGATACGTG